TCTTCCCAGGAACTGAGCTCCACTTCATTACACAGCAAGCTGGCAGATAGGAAGCCAGATATTGCTGACGCTGGGATCTTTTTTCACATAGTCCTATTCCACTTGTGATCTGCCTCTTCTTTCCCACCTGAAAGCCAGAAGGAGCCCCTGAATTTTCCAGACTCCTTCTTTTATTCACAAGTTGCTTTTCTGCAGAAAGCTGATGGTCACATTCTCTCAGCCAGGTCACAGGCCTGCCTGTCTTGCACTATGTGCTTAACAGCTTTCCCCTCCCTCTGAGCAAATGCCACATTTCAAATGGCTCAAGGTCCCACAGCTGAAATACCACATTTACTCTGGCAAAAGCTCTTTGGGGACCTCCCATAAGCAGTGGCAATGTTGTCATTGTTCTTAATTTTGCAGTAGCACTCGAGGCATGCCCACCCCTGCCTTTATATCTGTGACAATATCGTTCTGACTTGCTGAGCTCTCTCCTCTGGCTCTACTTCTTCCTAATGTGCCCCAAAGTGGTCACACATGGCCATGTATGCCATGGCTCACATACCTATTCTGGTGTTCTCACTTCCTTAGGCAGTGCTTCCCCTCTCACTTTTAAGTGGATAAGTTCTCAAATCTGCATCACTGTATTCCAGTCCCTCATCTTCCCATCCCCATGATCTACCAGTATCTCAAGCAACTTGTATTACGGTTGCTGGATCCGTCTTTCTTCCAAAGATGGTTTCCTCTCAGACCTCTATTTTTCTCAAAATTATAGCCAATATTCTCCCTTTCTCATTCAAAAATTTGATATCAACTTTGTCTCTTCTTTCCCCATCTCTAGCATGGAACAAAAATATGATTCCTTCTTTGTAATATTTCCTGTCTGCCTGTTTTCAATATCACCCATAAAATCTTCCATCACGTTCTCTAAAAAGCATTTTCTAACTGCAGATCCTCCTGCTCCACTCATCCCTCCACTGCTCTCAGTCAACACCCAAATTAGAACAGGAGCCATTTTAGGCTCCCTATGGAGTATCAAATAATTCCAGATTTTTAAGTCTAATATTTAATAATTTCCAAAATAAGTCCACAATTTTTCCCCTAGAAGTGAGCTGAGATATGGCAAGAGTGTTAAATGATCAGTAGCTGGATTCTTGCATCCAGAATATGTGCTCCTTTCTTGAACATATTATATTCCATTTCAGGTTATCTTAGTTAATTTTGATTGTATAATAAAATACCATAGACCAGGTGGCTTATAAACAACAGAAATTTATCTCTCACAGTTCTGGAGACTGGGAAGTCCAAGACAAAGATGCTAACTATGTTTGGTGAAGGCTTGCACACTGGTTCATAATCTTCTTGCTCCATGTTCATATGGCATAAAAGACAAGGAACCTGTCAGGCTTCTTTTATGAGGGCACTAATTCCATTCATGAAGGCTCTGCCCTCATAATTAATCACCTCTGGGAAACCCCACCTCCAAAGAGCCTCACATTATGGATAAGATGGCAACATACGAATTTGGGGGAACACAAACATTCAGACGATAGCACAGTCCATTTCCCTCAAGCTTCCCGCTATGTTTGTTCAGCTCCTTCTCTGATTCTCACACCTTGGTCTGTCTTCCATTGGATCCTGAACCTATTTGAGGATCTGTCCTGTGGCTTCTCACCTGCCCTGACTCTGGATGATTAGGTGGAAAGAGCACTGCAGCATAGTCCCTTTTTCATGATCACTTGGTGGGCCTAGTTGGGGTTCTCATTAATAAGAACAGGGTTCTCATTAATGTGCATTAGAATCATATGTGGTTGGGTGCAATGGTGCATGCCTCTAATCCCAGTGACTTGGGAGGCTGAAGCAGGTGAACCACAAATTCAAAGTCAGCCTCAGCAACTTAGTGAGGACCTAAGCAACTTAGAGACAGACCCTATCTCAAAAGAAAAAAATTAAAAGGGCTGGTGGGAACATCACCAGTTAAACATCTCTGGGTTCAATACCTGCTATGAAAATCATCATCATTGTCATCATTACATGGGCAGGGTGTTAAGATTGTAAATTCCAGTACACACCCCAAATTTGGTGGCCAGAACCCACAGCAGCACTATCTAATAGAACTTTCCACAAAGATGGAAACGTTCTGTGTTGTCCAATAGAGTGACTACCAGCCAGATGTGGAGAATAAGCACTTACAATATGGCTAGCATGACTGAGGAACTGAATCATTCATTGTGTTTTATTTTGATTTATTTAAATTTAAATAGCCATATCTGGTTGACAGTTTTGAACATTGCAGATCTATATGAGTCAGATCTATACACATCACAGCTGATTTTAACGAAAATAGTATCTAAGGTTCACTTTGACAAGCAGTCCAGGTAATTCATACTCCTTACCAGCACATGGCAGGTAATCAACAAATGTTTATTGAATGCATGGATGAACAAGTGAATAAACAATGAACCAGACTATAGTTTTCTTGAGATTTAAGACTGTCACTCCTTAAAAGAAAAACCTGAAGGGACAGTTTCAGACAAAAGAGGCTAAAAATTTTAAAAAATTAAAAATTATGGAAAACATTTTTGGAACAACTAGGGAATTAGTAATATAAACAACATGTGACATGACATTAATAAATAAATTTTAGTTTTCTTAAACAAAATAATGTAAAAATTACCAAAGAAAATGTCTTCATTCTTGGAAATGCATGCTGAGTACTTAGGAATGAAATGTCATGATATCTTATTTTCAGTCAAAATGTTTATGAGAGAGAGAAAGAGAAGAAGGGGAGAGAAAAATGGTAAAATGTTAATAGTTGTTGAATCTAGGTAGTGTTTTTGGGTGCTTTCTTTTAATGTCCCTTAAACTTTTAAATATATTTGAAAATCTTCAAAAAAAATATTGGGAGAAAACTCATCCCCAATAAATTGACAAGATAAGGACTGTTCTGAGTTTTATACATTTAAAACTCATTAACTTCTCCCTACAGTGCTACAGGGCAGGTACTATTATCATCCTCCCTTTACAGATAGGAAAACTGATGAATAACGAGGTGGAAGTAACTTTCTCAAAGTCTTATAGCTGCTGACCTGTAGCACCAGAGTTGCGCCTTGTGTAGTCTGCCTCCTACTGTGCACTCAGAAAACTCTACTTTCTCTGGAAAAATCAGAAGACCTGGCAACACATAAGACCAATTAATTTTTTTAAATATATATTTTTTAAAGAGTGTGAGAGAGAGAGAGAGAGAGAGAGAGAGAATTTTAATATTTATTTTTTAGTATTTGGCGGACACAACATCTTTGTATGTGGTGCTGAGGATCGAACCCGGGCCACGTGCATGCCAGGCGAGCACGCTACACTTGAGCCACATCCCCAGCCCCAAGACCAATTAATTGACCAGAATCCCTGAAGGCAGAGAATCTATTCCCTATTTAGCCTGCAACTGAGGCCTTTGGGGTTTTGACCCCTGTTCTGACCACAACACAGTGGAAGACACTAAGGTGATGGCACATGACAGATATGTCACAGGTACTTCGACATTGCCCAGACCAACTTGGCTATCAGGCTGACCTCTCATTAGTCGTGAAGGTCCAGTGAGAGGCAAAGTGAGGGGGTAACTTGGACAGGTTGGGAAAGTATAGGACAGAGAAGTAGGAGCCTTAGAATAACTGTCAATAGACAATGGGAAAAAAATTGCAAGAAACAGAAGTTGCGCCTCCCATCGGTGTAGGTAATGTGCTGCATCAGAGGGCACGGGGGTCAGTGCAGGAGCACAGGCTAGCATGACCTGGGTTGGAAACCTGACTCCATCACTTACCAGTGTGTGACTTAACTTCTTTAAGCTTCCATTTCCTTGACCATAAAATGGAAGCACCACTTCCAGGTTGGTGAGAAGAATTAAATGAGAGAGAACGTGGAGTATCTTTGGCCCCTGTTAATATAAATAACCATAATACTTTTCTTACTAATCATTAATATTCACATCTTCCTATTTTCCCCTAGAGTTAAGAAGCAAGAAGAAATTGGGAAGCTATGGTAAGTGCCAGATGTTTGTTGGAGCTTCACCTTTCAGTCAGGGTCTTGATTTATTTAGCCTGTAGCCCAAGCAGCTGGCAGACTTGTTCTTATGATTTGTTGATATTTATTGGCAAGAAATTAACACGGAGTAAGGGGAAAGCAGAGAATAGAAAAGAATTTGTGAGCAAACAGTTTTAATGAAAATATTTAAATAAGGTTCCCAACACACAGGAATGTAAATGTTTGAGGAGATGGAAATGCTAATTGCCCTGATTTGATTATTATTCATTATCTATGTGAATTGAATTATCCTACTATATCCCATAAATACATACAAATTTGTCAATTAAAAGTTAAAAAATAATATAGCAAAAAGTGAACAATACCCTAATTGATTAACAATTCCTTCAGAAAATATTATCGAGTACCTACAATGGTCCAGGCCTGGTACCAGGTGCTAGGAATGCAGATGTGAGCAAAACCAGAAACAGCACTTTCTCCTCCCAGCACACCTCTGGAGATGATTGAATGAATGACAGCTCACAATTTTCTGGAATGTTATCTGCCATTATAAAGAAAGACTGCAAAGAATCAATACCAATCTAGTTTTATGTCATAATAGAAGTTCAAAATGCAGGATTCAAAATTGTATTCACAGTATTAGCCATATAAATCATACATAAGCTACAACTCAATAACAAAAACTGTCGATGTCATAGATCATTCATTACATTCAGCTTTTTTTGTTCTTTTCTAAACATAGGTACTATATAGGTAGGATGAACACTGGAAACATTTTAAGAGTTGATAGTTGTTATTTCTGGCATGTGGGACTTGGAGGGATTTTTTTTCTTCTCTACAATCATCACTAGATTACAAGGTTCCTATAAAAATCATGAGTAGACAGGAAAGAAGCAAATTAAAACACTGTCTCAGACATGCACTGAGCTTCTCTTACCGCATTCATTTTTTTTTCTCTCTTCCCCTGCCCTTGGCGTGTTCAGGGCAGGGTACACAGGCCCCCACCTGGGCCACACAGGCATTGTGAAGGATGTATCAACCGCCACTGCCATGTTCCTGTGGAGCCCAACGTCTCCTGCCTGGTGATAAGCTGCCACCTGCTCTGTGGTGCTACCTTCCACATGTGCAAAGAGGCAGAGCACAAGCTCCTCTGTCCTTTAGAGCAGGTTCCATGCCTCAACTCTGAATATGGCTGCCCCCTTTTAATGTCCCGCCACAAGCTGGCCAAGCACCTGCAGATGTGCCCGGCCAGCGTGGTCTGCTGCTCCATGGAATGGAACCGCTGGCCAAACGTGGACTCAGAAACAATCCTTCATGAGAACATCATGAAAGAGACCCCCAATGAGGAGTGTTTAGATACAGCCCTGGCCCTCCAGGATCAGAAGATTCTCTTCAGATCCTTGAACATGGTAGACCTTTTCCCAGAAACCAGAGATGCCACGGAGGAGGAGCCAACCAGGAATGGTGATGCCAACTGGGAGGAAATGGAAGGAGCAGTGGGAGGACCAGATGCCAGTTTGGTACCACACAACGGTTTGTCAGCACCCAACGGGGAGATGAATGAGTTGAGTCAAGAAGAACGAGAGGCACTAGCCAAGACCAAAGAAGGGATGGACCTGGCCAAGTTCAACAAGTGGGAAAACATGTTCAGCAAAGAACATGCAGCCTCTGCTTTAACTAGTTCATCAGCAAATTGTGAGAGCAAGAGCAGGGATGGTGCAGGGACAGAACAGATTTCCGCCGGCAATAACGTGGTAGAGGGAGAGGCTGCTGCCAACGGCAAAGAACCACAGCAAGACCAGAAGCAGCAGGACTTTTCCGCAGCAATGGAAAAGACAGGCCTTGCCCCCTGGCAGGATGGTGTTCTGGAAAGACTGAAAACAGCTGTAGATGCAAAGGACTATAATATGTATCTAGTGCACAATGGGCGGATGCTCATTCACTTTGGTCAGATGCCTGCTTGTACCCCCAGGGAGAGAGACTTTGTTTATGGCAACCTTGAGGCTCAAGAAGTTAAGACCGTTTACACCTTCAAAGTTCCTGTGAGCTATTGTGGGAAGCGAGCAAGAATTGGGGATGCCATGTTGAGTTGTAGGCCAAGTGAACACAAGGCCGTAGATACTTCTGACTTGGGGATCACCGTGGAGGACCTGCCAAAATCAGACCTCATCAAGACCACCCTCCAGTGTGCTTTGGAAAGAGAACTCAAGGGCCACGTCATCTCTGAATCCAGGAGCATCGATGGGCTGTTCATGGATTTTGCCACACAGACGTACAACTTTGAGCCAGGACCGTTTTCCTCGGGGACAGTACTGGCTGATCTCCTGACTGCTGCCAACCCAGGAGGACTTCATGTAGAGCTCCACAGTGAGTGTGTGACGAGGAGACACAACAAGAGTAGCTCTGCTTTTACTTTCACCTGCAACAAATTCTTCAGAAGGGATGAATTCCCCCTGCACTTCAAGAACGTCCACACAGACATTCAGTCATGCCTCAACGGCTGGTTCCAACACCGATGCCCCCTTTCCTACCTGGGATGTACGTTTGTTCAGAACTATTTCCGTCCCCCAGGACAAAAGGCCAAAGTGATCTACAGTCAGAAGCTCAAGACCTTTGCCATCAAGCCCGAGGTTGCTCCAGAGCTGAACGAGAGCAGGAAGAACAACCATCTCATAGACCAAGGGGGAAAAAGCCAGAACTCTCTAACCAGCCTGCCCCTGGAGGTTTTGCAGTACATTGCTGGGTTCTTGGACAGCATCAGCCTGTCCCAGCTCTCCCAGGTGTCTGTGCTGATGAGGAATATCTGTGCCACCCTGTTACAGGAGAGAGGGATGGTCCTCTTGCAATGGAAGAAGAAGAAGTACTCCCATGGAGGCACCTCCTGGAAAGTCCACAGAGAGGCAAGTTAATATGCATTCACTCAATCAACAAATACTTGTAGAGAGCTTTTTATGTGCTGAGCATTGCACTAGATGATGGGACAGTTGTTAGAATTAAGACTGATTCAAGGAGATCAGTCCATTAAGGGAGACAGACCCTTCTCCACGCTGGTGTGTCCCCAGATTGCTTAACTGGTTCCCTTTGCCCTCCAGCTTCCAGTGGGGCTAAAACCATGGGAGGGAAGGAGGGAGGAAGAACAGGGTTGAAGGATCCACTCTCCTGGTTGCTTCCCTTCATGCCCCTTTGAACTGGCTAAGTTCAGCTAAGATGGCTGCCTCTGGTGGCTCTCCCCACATAGTTACTCATTCTGGGTTCCTATGACAGCCTTCTTCCCCTTCCAGGCCTAGAGGAGTGACTCTATACTGTTACTAAGGTTGGATACTCTACAGTATCTCATGGCTTTCCTATACCTTGCCCATATATTTGAAATCATTCCTCTTAAAAATTCTCTTAACGTGACCCCCATTTGTGTGTGCCATCTGTTTCCTGCTTAGACTCTGATTAATACAGTAAGGCAACATTCTTCTCAGTCCTATGTCAACTGATTCTTGGTTATTGTTTGTTTTGCAGTGCTGGGCATTGAACCCAGAACCTTGGGCATACTAAGCAAACACTGTGTCCGTGAACTACACCCTCAGCCCTCAATGGTTCTTTTAAGAATAGTTTTTGCCATTGATAAAGGAATTTTGAAATTCTTCATGAATTCAATCTACTGATCTCTCCCCTGGTTCAAATACTTAATTTTTCAGAAAACTTTGTTGTATTAAAGCATCTCTTTCCTTCAGTAAAATTTTTGTTTCTTTTTCTCCATTGGATCATATTTGCTTAGCTGTATTATGACTTCTACAGAAGTGAGACTCCTAATTCATCATATCTAAGTGCCTGTAATGTCCTTTTTTTTTTTTGGTAGCGGGGATTAAACTGAGGGATACTTCACCACTGAGCTGAGCTACATCTCCAGACCTTTTCATTTTTTATTTTTGAAATGGGGTCCCCCTAATTTGCTCAGGCTGGCCTTGAACTTGTGTTCTTCCTCCCTCAGTTTCCCAAGGAGCTGGGATTACAAGTGTGTGTTACTACACCTGGCCTGTAACGTTCTTTCTCATAGTAAATATGGTGGTAATACGAACCAAGAATGACTAATACCTATTTAGGTAAATAATTCTATAATATTACTGTTGCAGTTCTTCCTAATAGGTGGGTGTTTAAGAGCTGCATTGGGGAATTAGAAGTGTTTGCATCTATTTTTGTTGACTATATTTAAAATGTGTATTTCCATTATTGATCACCTAGACAGTCTTGTTCAAACATAATTATAAGACTCTCTCTTACATATCCATGCCTACATCCATGTGCTAAACACTGACTGTCAACCACATGCTAAGGATAAATAGTGAATGAGATATTGTCTTTTGAAAAAGTGTTGTCTAAAACTACCTATTATCTTCCTCTACAAAACAGATGCAAATAATTTAATTTGCATACTAGAAATTACATTTTTCTTTTTTTTGGGGGGGTGGGAGTGGGGAGAGGTAGGTTTCAAGTTTGTTCCTAATTCAATGATTGCTGACCACTCTTGGTTATCATTTGGGACAAACTAATTTGCTTGCAGAAAAGAATAAAGAGAATTTAGTTGGGGATAAAGGATATTCACATTAAAATGGCTTTTGGGGTAAAAAGGGAAATAATTCCAAGATCCCAAGAAATAGTTTATTTTTGCACAGGAACAAGACAAAACACTGAGGGTGAAGTAGTCAGGCTGAAAGGGTACCAGGTGCCAAGGGTGCCAAGCCTTTTAGCCACATTTTAAAACTAGTAGCTTTGCCACCACCTCCCAGCTGGAAAGACCAGAGAGTGTTTTATTGAGTACTGACTCAACTCATAGAACTCTCCATTGAGGTAAGACCTTAATTTAGTTAGAATACTTCTAATTTCAAGCAGGTAGAAAAGCAATTAAAAGTACCTTAAACAGTAAATGGAATTTATTAGCCTATATAACTCAAAAGTCCTTAGCTAATAGTTTCAGGTAAGGCTTGATTTAGCAACTCAAAAAATTCCCCAATGTTCTTTTTACTTTCTGTTTCTTTGTTTCCTCAATATTGGCTCCATTCTAAGACAGTTCTCTGGTGGTCCCTGGAGACTGCTGACACCTCCTAGGACTACAGTTCCCAGTTCAAGTACAGAAGGAGAAAGAGAATCTGCTTTTTGAAATCTCAAACAAAAGTGCTGGGGTAGAATCCCATTGGTGCTAATTGTCCTGATTTAATCTGGGTCTACTCTAGAACTAATGGTTGCTAGTGGAAGGACAGGGGAAGGTAGGTGTATGTCAATATGCTGATCTGTGTCAGTCATTCCCACACAACTGCAAGGCTGTCTGGGAAGATTATTAATTGGAAGGGGGAAGCTTAAATTGGACTCTGGGGAAGAAACTAACAAAAGTCAAATGCCACTGAACTCTCTGGAAGGAAGTAGAGAGAGGCGTTTCCTTATCCTGTTCAAACACAGCCAGCCTGGGGGCGTTGCCCCAGGTTTATCTGTAAGTTTTTCCCTTTCTCCACAGATCTGGCAGTTCAGCAGCCTCTTCTCCCAAATCAAGAGCTGGGAGTTTAATGAAGTCACCTCCATGTCTGAGCACCTGAAGGCCTGTCCTTTCAACATCATAGAGCACAAGACTGACCCGATTCGTTTGACCAGCATGTGTCAGCCCCGTGAGCAGGCCCAAGAGAGCTTAGTCTCCACCTTTAGAACTAGACCACGAGGAAGACACATCTAGAGATTTGGATGGCATCATTCTTGAATTTTTCCTTGGAGTGATTGAAAGCAGGACTGAGAATGGTTTGAGAAATCCCTGCTGTAACTGCATATTCTGCTTCATTGCATGTATTGGAACATATGATGTCTTTCAAAACCTCAGCAATTGTACTAGATCTAAGAATTTCCTAAGCGATGACTTATATGATAATGCCACACTGTGACTTAGTTTTCTTTTTCTTTTTTCTAAAATAGATAAGTCTGAGGAGAGAATAAGTAACTGAGGCTATTTGGAAAGGAATACAAGTCTTTAGGAAGTGAGAGAGCAATGAAATTCCATAACCAACATAAGCCATGATTTTACACTGGGCTTTTTGGTTTACAAAACTTGCATATTGGCAGGGCAGACAGTGCATGGACAGTAAGTTACTTCCTAGGATGCAGAGTTACCTCCCAGGGTGCCAGGGTGGAGGGCATCCAGCTCTAAGGTTCTGAAGCTGGGCCTGTCTTGACAGCCAAGTTCAGGGTGACTTTTGGTGACCCTGATGCCTCTAAACCCAAGTAGTCCCAATTCAGCCTGATTGAACAGAGCCCCCTGGCTGAGCACAGCAGCCTGGAGGATACCGCAGGCCAAAAGGTAAGGACAGTAATGAGGTCACCGAGTCTCTTGTGTAGATTCTTACCAAGGTATAGAAAGGAAGCCTTGAAAAACGAGGGAGAGTCCAGAGGAGACTCTGTATTTTCAAAGAAAGGACAAAAGCCTCAAGCCTACTTTTTAACGTTTTTAATAATGATTCAAGAGTCAAGGTTGTTTTTTCCTGAGACGTATATTATAGGTCTGGGTGAAGGAGAGCATAGGCATAGCTCAGTGCCACCCTATGTCTGAAATGACCTCCATACATGATGCCAACCTCAGTGTCATGCCAGGACACACAGGGAAGCTGAGGAGACTTCGTGTTGGGTAAAGTCCAAACAAGACCCCCCACAGTTCCTGTGGTACCGGTCCACAGGTACCATACACCACTTGGATAGTCCACTGGGGGCCCTGGAGAGAAAGACATATGAACACAGTGGTTCCTTGGATTGCCCCAAGCTTGCTGTTCATTCCTCCAGCCTGTCAAAAACAGATGCTACTGCTGTTTTTGGTAACAAACCATGAATATTCACAAGCACATAAGTAGAGGGAAAAGTCCCCAATAAACTTGCAATCCCTAAAGCCGAGTTTCCTAACCTTGGAACTCCTAGCCACTTGGAACCTGGACTAGCTTCACTACTGAGCTACCTCCCCAGCCCCTTTTCATTTTGAGGCAGGGTCTCACTACGTTTCTGGAGCTGGTCTTGAACTTGCGATGCTCCTGCCTCAGCCTCCCAAGATGCTGGAGTTACAGGTGTGCACCACTGTGCCTAACTGGAACTATTGACATTTTGAAGTGGATAATTCTTTGTCATAATGGACTATTCTATATATTATAGGGTATTTAGCAATACCCTTGGCCTCTATTAAATCCACCCCCCACTCCACAGTAGCACTCACACAGTGAACAGCCAACAGTGTCTCCAGATATTGCAGAATGTCCTCTGGGAGCAAAGTGGCTCCAGGCTGAGAACCACTGTCCTAAGGAATATCATAACAGTTAGTTTAAGTTTGGATATGCTTATTTTTCAGTACAACAGAATCTTGTTGCACATAGCCATCCACAATGGCTGTGGTTTAATGCTGCCCTTATGTATCTACTAAATAGGTTTTAGATGTCAGGTGATATTAAGTCAGAAACCAGATGCATCCAATTGTTTGATATGGCTACATGTCCCCGGGCCACATGGAAGAATATGTATTTTCTGCTCTCTCCAGTTATATCCAGGAAAGTTATTTGTCTTATGTTTATGTCCTTCTTACCTTAATCAGTGCCATTTTCCAAGCAGTTGAGTTTCAAGCAAGTGAGAAATAGGAAAAAGGGAGGACAGAACAAAAGGGAAGCAGAGAAAGAATTCACCCAACAAAAGAAATTGGTTCATTCATCTGGGTGCTTGTTTTGACTGGGTCGCCCCAGTTCAGAAATGCTGTAGATCACACCTCTGAGAAGAGTCAAGATGGTGGTAGAGCAAGCCCCAAACCAGAAATATGCTCATCTTTCATTATTATGTGCCACTTGGTACTATTTGGTAACGTAATCTCACTTTTTCTAATGCTTATTGTTTGATTTATATTTCACATTTATATATGTCATTGTTTTCTAAAAATATAACTAGAGTGTGATCTAAGGCTTTACTCAGTGAAGATGAGTAACCAGAAGCAAACTCTGCATGTCAGGTGTGGGAAAGAAGAAAGGAAGAGAGTTCTCTGGGTGTCAGTTACATGTGTTTGGAATCTGGTCCTTCTTATGTGGAGGAATAATGCTCCCAAAGCCAGGATTTCTAATTAGAAAAAGAGAGAAAGAGGAACTACGGACAGAGGACGATAAGTCAGGGCCGTGGTTGAGGAGCAACCACAGAGGCATGAAGAGAGCAGAAGGCTTTCCCTCCACAGCGCGGGTGGGCGGGGCACGGGTTCAGGACACGCCCCCTGGTGGGGTGCGGGGCGCTCCTTGAGGCACTTTCCTCTCCCACATGCTCCCTTCAGAACAGTACTGATTTGGTCAACATCATCAAACACATTTATAAGATAATGGTCCATATTTCAGGAAACCAGGGTACTGCTGGTATCCCCGGGTTCCTAGAGGAGAGAGCAGAGGGAGCAGGAGGGGACCTTATCAGAGAGGCTGTGGGGAGACAGGTGATTGATTAGTGAGGTGAGGCTGTAGTGAGCAGCAGGAGCAGGGAGCGCCTAAGGAAGAGGAAAGACAGCTAGACATGGCTTCAGAGTAAGAAGCACATGAGGTGGGCAGAGAGGGCTGTGTCACAGGAATAGAGCCTCAACAGAGCCCTTGATGAGCATCACAGCCCAGAAAGGCAGACCAGGGCAGAGACCAGCTGAATGTGGAGGGCAGGGTCTGTAGAACTGGGCCAGAAAGGACTGTTGCCTTAGCAGCACAGGGATCTAGAAAAGAACTTTTCTCCTCTTCTGAAGGGAACAGTGAAAAAGCAAAGTGGAACTTGGAGATGGATTAGGAAAACTGCTGTAAAAGTCTGCCTTCTGTGTGAAATCAAATCAAACTGAAATGAAGAATGATATTGTGTACATGTGGTAACCTATTGCTATATACTGGAAATCCCAGTGTCTCTATAGGAGGAAATAAAGGCTGCTTTGCACTCACCTTTGAAAGGTTAAGGTGTGTGAATCTTGTGAGTTATATCTAGAGACAGTTTTGTGATTTGCTGGCATAGAAGTCATTATCAAAACTAAGGATTGTGTGTCTTGAAGAAAAGTCAAGAACAAGTTTGAAGCATGCAGCTCTCTAGGTGCCCCCGCAGCTCACCAATTCTGATGAAGTCCTGGAGCAACTGTGGATCTCAGCCACTAATCCTAGTTCCTCCTCCTCCTCCACCCCAATGCCTTCTCCCTCTGTGAAAGCTGGACTCAACTTGGATGCTGGTAACAGCATAGATTCTATGTCCTATCAACCAAAGATCATCTACACCAAATACCCCACTTTGTGCCCTCAAATCTTCTGTCTCTGACCTTTGCTGAGGCTGAGCACAGTAGTCTGGGGCTGAGAAAAACCCATCTTGCCCTGACCTCTGAATTTCTCTCATCCCATGGTTTGCTTGGCGATTCACTTTTTGTCCACAATGGCCGTCCACATGTCCTTACCCTCTTTCCTATCTGCCTCGGCTCTGGGCCATTCAGAAGTTTCATGTACTTCCTCCATCCAGCCTGCTACAAGGAGGCCACTGTCTCTGGATCTAAATCCTCTTCAGCCTCACTACAATTTGTTTTCCTTTCCTTTCTCCTGCTTTCTATCCTCTAGATTGAGCTTCTTCCTCTACAAACACCACATGGAAAGAGTGTGTCGTTACTCCCAGGCAGGTGGCTGGCCTGGCACAACTGCTAAAGCTGGTAGAAGTTGATACCACCTTAACGTGGATACCACCTGGCCCCCTATCATCCCACCTTACCACCATTCTCAAGATCACCTGTTTTGGACCGGGTGTAAGGGAATAGGAAAATGCCTTGCCCTTGAATCTAGAGTGCTAGGAATAGGCAGTGTTAAGAGTGGGTCTTCTGGATGTGCCTGGAAGGGGGTGGGAAATTTAGAGCCATGAGAGCCAGGACTGCACAAGAAGTTTTATTTTCCTCAGCACAGAGGTGCACAGTAGTCCCACTTTATTTCCAACTTTAGGACTGAACAGAAAAAAATCTCAGAAATATCTCCAAAGGAAAGAAAAGTGGGCAAAAACACAACCATGTAGAATAGACCCACCTTCTCAGGTAAGCAAACCAGGAAGCCCAGTGCTTACAGGGAATAGATCAGAGTTGGGGGTGTCATTATAGGGGGCATTACTGGGGAAGAAGGCAGGACCACAATGTAAACATCCATGAGCTATTCCAGGACACAGAGGACACCGAGGGGAAGGAAACCTCCTTCCTCATGCTGTTTCGGCCTGAAGCCCTAATGAAACAGGAGAGGGAAGTCTGTCCAGAACCTCAGGTAACCCAAGACTTCCTGTTAGGCACTTGCAGCAGGAATGGGGATGGGATGGAGGCAGAGCCACTTTGGACATGGGGAGTCACAGCTGTAGTAGATAGTGAGGTCAGTCACTGGAGGAGCTTGACATAATTTGCAGGGAAGAGTCCAAAGTGGCCGTGGCAACGTCCCCGCCACCAGCCCTCATCCACCATCTCAATGTCAGTAATGATGTCATCCGGATCAAAGGAAAGCTCATCACTTCCCTCTGGGGAGGAAATGGAGGGGATATTAGGATGGTCAAACAGGAATCCTGCCATCTCTCCCTGAACTTACTCCCAGGAAAGAGGCCTGGCCTTTGTCTTGGTGGCAAGACTGGGCCTTTCCCTGACCCCCAGAATCCATCCCCTTCCTGTGTATCAGAGGTCTCAGGCCACTCCCAACCTACCTCCTTGGT